CATATATCTTATAAATATATTTTTCTATGTAGTATTAAAAATATAATTATTATTACTAATATTAGAGCAATAATAACTATAAAAATGGTGTCCCTAACTATAATTAATTTATTCTTAATTTATTATTAATTAATTTATTTTTCATGGAATTACAAGCACAAATATCATTTTTCTCTTAGTGTAATAGTTAAGCAAAATAGAGATCAAAGTATGGGAAATCTCGAAAAGTTAGAATAATAATCAATTTGCGAAATACGGACTTATATTTAGCTGCAAGGATCTATTTCAAGGACTAAAATTCTGTAATTCTTAACAAGTGTTAAAGTTAATATTATTACATTATCGTTGTACAAGTATTATATAATACATAAATAATAAAAAAGCTATGTAGTAACTATATAATGACATTATCGTTAAGAGTTATAGAATCCCAGTGCTGAAATTGTTTTACTGGCACAAAGTTATCTCCAATTAATCTTAGAATATAAATTTCTCGCATGTAACGTACGCTGTAATTCTCGCGCGCATCGCATTCTGATTATATTGTTCAAAATTATTATATTGCGTTGTATACTATATATGTATATATATATATTTCGAATGTACAATAATAACGTTAAACTTAATTGATGAAATTATTATTGATATGTATGGTTATTATAACAAGAGAACATGGATATGTATTATTATTACTCGAGTTTTGAATGAAATTTGTTACAACAAAATATCACTAACTTTAGATTTAATTTTTTAATGGCCATATTTGATACATGAAAAGAACGGTTTTGCTGAAATATCGAAAAATTTAATTAAATATACATCTGAAAATTTTGTTGGATCAACAAAACAATTATGAATGTTCACCTAGTCAATGTGATAACTACTAATATCACAATGTTGGTTTCGATTTGAAAAAAACTGTTTATTTATTTATGTACACTGTTCTGTTTATCGTACAATTTCTCAGTTATTTATCACTATTAGTTACTGTTAACACTATTTCGACTGCGCCTAGGGATTGTTACCCTAAGTCGCCTGTTCGGACACTTTCGCGCATACGCCTGGGAGCTAAAGTCCTGGTTCACGATAACCTCGTGATGACGCCTAGGGAAAAACCCTGAATCACGAGAGTAATACTTGCGGACACTAAGATCAGACTGACTTAACTAACTTCAGCACCTCAAAATCGTACGGATTCGCGCTCGATCGATAGACTTGCTACCTCTTCGCGTTCTCTCGAAATATTGACTTCTCCAAATTTCGTGCGATTCGATCCTTTTCATATTCGTCTACGATTGATAGATTTCGACCAATCAGGAGCGACGGCGGATCGGCAACTTGCGACAAACGCGACAAAAGGATCACAGACGCCGCGATTCGCCTAATCTTCACCGCAGTGAAGATCAAGTTTGTTCACCGCGCTAGGTGAAATAATCATCGTTAGATCACAATGCCAAAGTCCGATCTGATGTCCGCGAAGCATCTTGTTTGCCATCGAAAATCCGATGATATATGATCATTATAAGATTATACTCTAAATAATATTTGAAGTGTCCGACCCCTTTGGCAGGAAAAATCATGCATGGTCATGCACGATGATAATCTCGTACCACTCACCAATGAAAAACATTCAAACTGAATATCAAAATTTTGTACAGCATTGTTTAAGTTTTCTATGTATAAATATTTTTATCGTCTAATAAAATTATTTCCAAATCTGTATTTAATAAATTTTAAAGTATTTTAGCAAAATAGCAAAATTGTTCTTTCCGTATAATGAAGTTAAGTTTGCGTCACAGCAAAGAAGAACTTGAGTGTGAGAAATGAGTCTGAGAAATGAACCAGGAAAACATCAATATGTTGTATTATTCAATATGTTGTATTATTACTCAAGCTTCAAACCAAATTTGTTATATCAACATACCACTAGCTTTGATTTTATTCCTTGGCCATATTTGATAATAAAGTTAAGTTTGCGCCACAGCACAGAAAGACTTTAAGAATGTCTGAGAAAGTAATCAACCGGCGCGCTAGTATTAAATCCCGTGGGATTCTGGCTTTGCGTTGAATACCTTTTCAGACTTTAAACTCGTCCTAAATCCGCTTTATATCTATGGCACAATGTTAAGTCTATTAGAAGCTTATGCAGCATGAATCATCATAAATTATCAACCACGAATGTTGCATTATCCAAGAAAATGAGACAAACATCGATAATAATCCGATTTCGCGATAATCAACAAAGGTATAGATTCGATGAAACAAATCCATCGAATGTCCAGAGTGTCATATGAATTAATTAACTCCAAACGTACCCGGATTTCAGACATGGAACAGCAATGTGAAATTGCATCTGTATCCGTCCTATATCCATCCGTTTGAGATGTGAATTTGTCCTGCAAATTACATTATGTACACAAAGCACGGCCTCTGATACATGATGTGAGTCTTCCAGCCGAAGGCACAACTCGAGAGCATGCATTCCGGGCGCGGCCGTGGTGGTAAAATTTGGACAGTCGAGTTTCAGGATACGTCGAATTGCTGCAACCAGCGCGCGTCGACGACAACTGGAACGAGCAAGCCCGGGGACTCGTCCCATCGCGTCGGTCTCTCATCTCGTCTCGTGCGCGAGTACGCAATTCCAAAATATTCCGGAGTGGCGATATTTTCTGGACATACAGGGCGACCGACAACTGGTCGCCCGTACACGGGTTGCGTGCGTCCGGGCAATTTACAGCAGTGGCCTTTTGAATTCAGCAGTGCCCATCCGAGCGCAGAATTTTAAACAATTTGCCGCGTGACATGCCGACAGTTCCTACAAAGCCCGCGAAATCTGTACGAGTTTTCTGTATTGGGAACATAAAGATAAATGAGTAAAGGATATTTAGGTATTCATACAGCGTATCCACATTTAACGCTAAATATGATACATATGCGCATTTACGAATGAACGTATGTTATCGCGTTCTCATGTCACTGCGTCGGAAATTTCTATACTTCTCAGAAAAGACGGCACGACTAACGTCAATCGAATATTTCCCTAATTGATGTCAACTGCGAATTAGTATCATTGTCATCAGTCAAATCTCTACTCTATTTGACAATACCGAATATGGTAGAACAAATTGCTTGCTTACTTTAGAAATTGAAATATCTACTTGAAACTGATTTATATACTTGATATCATTATTGTTATTTTCACGATACAGTAGCAACCGAATCTAATATAAGTACGTTGAAATATACGTTCGGGCACTTCATGAGACGTAATCAAAGAAACAATGACACAAATATAATTCTAGACTTTGGATGACTGAAATTTTATTTTGGTTCTGTTCAGATTTTCACGGAAAAAATGTTAAAACATTCAAAAATTTAGATACAGATCTAAAAATCATTTTATTGGACCATTAAAATATTTGTAGAAAACTCAAACATGATTAGAAATGCTGCAAAGAAATTTGATATTCTAGCAGTCAGTATTTGAGCGTTCTATTATTTTGATGGCCTAAAATAAAATTTATTTTCACATTTATATGGCTATTTGTAGATATACCTACAGTAAAATCGTTCTTTCCATAATAGTGCAGTAGTGCTCCAGCATCACTTTATCCTTGTTGTCCGTCATTAATCACTTATTCAATAAGAATAATATGATATCAGGGAAGTACTTATTAAAAATAGTAAAAATTTGAATGCGCCCACAGTGGATTTTCTCGTCATATTAACTAGCAATTTTACCTAAGAAAAAAAGAAGAATGTACTCCATATACGCGATTATAGAAATTTTGATACAAAATGGTACTTTCAGCAGAGCTCGATCTCGATCAATCTTTTTTTAAATACGACAAATACGAGTACGTGTCATAACCGAGTTCGCCCAGGTATACATTGTTGCGAATGTAACAATCGAAATACGTATTCTCTCGAACGGTGTTCTCGTGCTCGGCGCAAAACTGAAAATACGCACGCGAGTTCGGCACGAGCTTTTTTACAGTCGGCAAAATGTCATCTCGGTGACAAAATCTGGTTAAATCTGATATATCTGCGAAGCGTGGTCAAATAAGTGAGCAGATAAATATTCGGTTCGTGTATTACAATCAAAATTTTTATAGTATATATAATATATTCCACCAGCACGATTGCGCACGATTTATTATTATTGACCAAAATATGGACGTAAAATTTCTCGGAAATAGGATACCACATGCAATAGTTTTCATACGTTTGGTCAACTATGATTTTACCATTCCCTGTGTTGAAAATTATCATTCTATCTCATATTTCACAATACGAATGTTTCGAACGCGAGACCAACACGACGCAAGACCAACATCTAATCGCCGTATGTGGCAATATCCGTGGTGGAACAGCGATAAGAGTGCTGAATCAAATATATGGAGTAACCGATACGCTGAGTCTTATCTAGGTGAGCGAGTCATTGATTTATCATGCGTCGAGTACTCGCTTCATACGATAATAACCGATAACGAGCTGGTAGGTAAATTTCTAGGTAACGGATCGATGATATCAGCTTTCGTTTCTGTTAGCACATAGTCGAAATGTCGATGTGTTATCGTGAATCAGCGGCGTAAAATTACACCGGAGCCACGTCATCGTATGTGATGCTTTAATAAGAAATTTGAATTAAAAAAAGACAAGTACATGTACCGTGCGCAGGCATGAAAAAAACAATTTTGCTCAGGCATCTAAAGAAGCTAAATATAGATCCAAAATAAATTTCGTTAAACTATCAAAATAATTACGTGACGCACAAACTGATTGGAGTGTTAAAATACTAATCATGATGTTTGAGTTTTCTATATAATTTATGATAATCTAACAAAATTATTTTCAAATCTATAACTAAACTTTTAGATACTTCAAGAAAATTATTCTTTCCATGCATGCGATTACACGGTCCCAACTCAAAAGTTAATTTAATTTCATATTGTATTGATTGTTAGCGATTGTTACAAACATACAAAATGCACACTTACGACGGCGAGATGTTGGGATGATTAATGCTTCCAGGCTAATATAAATACTCTGGATCGCAAATAGCACTATGTTTAATCTGAAACAAAAAGATCAATATCATCAGTTTGTACATTAACGAAATATACATAGATAACATTTCTAATATTGATTTATAATATAATTTACGTCTATCTAATTGCCATAATTTATCGCTGGCATTTTTAATCAACCATGTTTTAAATATCTAGATATTATACACATTATAATTATTAATTAAAATTGAATATTTTATTCTTATTAATTGTAAAATTGAATATTTTATTTTTATTAATTTAATACATTATAATATGGCTATTGTTTGCCTTTCATCTTGTGTTTAATCTTTCACATATACCATTTAAACATAATTCTATAATATTTTCCAAACCGTCGGACATAGTCCGAATCATGACACATGAATATCTGAATATGAAATATGTCCGATCAAAAATGGCTAGTATAATTTTAGATCTTGAAAGCGAAGAAATATTAATAAATTCTAGCAGATACGAGATTTTCGTTAGTCTAGGAAACACTTGAACAATACTAGTCTTTCTTTCTTCAGGTATGATCGATCAGCACATGATTCATTCATAAAACATGCGAAATATCTTCTCGCTTTAAATTATGAGAAAAAGCAAATTCGTTCGAAGGTGCTTTCTACGTCATACAAAAACGCTAAAAAATATGGAAATTTCCGTAACATTTATTTGTCATAATTAAACAAAGCAAGAATGACAAATGTAATGTCTAAATAGTGTATATTTTCATACAAACACAGTTTATAAGTGAAAAAACTGGACACTGTACATAATAATGGCGGACGCAAGATATAATCGTATTAAATTTTGTAATTAAATAATAAAAGAGCCCACAACAGCTAATTAGTACTTAATAGCGAGATGGATTAAAATGCGCTTATGAATATCGTACGTGCCGGCATTGTTATAGCAAAATTATGTCTGCGCTGATCCAGAACAAATTAATGCCTCAAGCTCATCATTTTTTAAAGCTCCATAAATAATAATTTCACTATCGATAACGCTAAATGGAAATTGATATCATAATTAATAATCATAATTTTTTTCTTATCAAAAAAATTTACAGTATTAGGAGAAAAAATTCTTGCGAATGAAAAATACAAGTTACATACATACATATTATACATATCTAATAAAAAGTACATCGTTAAAATGTATAACATATTTTTATTAAAATGTATAACATATTTTGTATTAAAGATTTGTATCAAGAAAATGTAACTAAATAATTTAAATAACATCAGTAAACTAATTTATGGTTATAATATAATTTTTAAATAAGTTTATCACATTATTTTTGTACAGTTGTAATTGATTTAAAAATCCAAATCTACAGCACTCAAATAAAAAAGAATATGATTATAAAGCAAAAGACAATTGAGGATTTAAATAAGATTATAAAATATCGGATTTATCAGAAAATCATAATAAATAAATTCTAGCTTATACATTTATACGACTTGTAGAACAAAAAGTTTTTAAATGACAAAGATTATGATATTAAAGAAAATTGATAAGATTTTCTGACCATTTATTCAATTTATTATTCAATTTATATTCAATATATATTTATATTTTTATATTTTTTCATCTATTCGATTAAATAATGGTAGTAGTTTTTAAGATGTTAATTTATTTTGCTTTTGCATGCATGCGTGCGTGTATTAGAATTAGTAAAAAGTAAATGTAGCACGAGAAAAACGATAAGTGTATATAATGGCAATATATTTAATTTCAAGACACAGGATATAATAAAATATTCATGAACAATAAACATTCAATATTCAAATTAACAATCTTTCAATTAGAAAACGCATGCGTTATAAATGATAACGCATTATATTCGTGCAACAAAACAGAACCAGCTATGTTGCACACGCCAAATATTATAAAAATAAACAAACTTATAATAAACAGAATCGCATAATATATTTGACAGTGCAAACGATAGATAGTACGAATAAACTGAGAATAAAATATATATATAATGTAAAAAAATCAGTCAAAATAAATACACATACATGTTTTTGCTGAAGCATCTAAATATTTAGCTAGATGCAAATCTAAAAAATATTTTGTTGAACCAGTAATTATAATATGTAGGTAATAAACATGATGAACAATGCAAAAAGTTTTGATATTCTAGCAACCAATTTGAAGAACGTCTTATACAATTATTTTGATAATCAATAATAAAAGTTATATATTTTCATAATATGTAAATTTTCAAATACTTCAAATCATTTTTTCCGTGGATCAATTAAGCATTGCGGTAATTCCAAATTTACTGTTTCAAATGTACTGTTAACTGAAGTAAAATAGAATCGATATCAAAACGAGGAATTCTAATTTTAAAAAATCAATAATTGAGTTGAATTATATAGTAATCCAACGGGTCCAGTTTGATTCACATAAAATTAATCAATACCTTTTAGTCCTACATTAAACACAACAAAAAATAGATGTAGTAAGTCTTAAGCTGTAAGAAATCAATTTAATCATAGTTGATTATTCTTCTCAAATTCGACTTACATTGGCCAATATTTTACAGCTTAAAGATTATTACATTTATTTGTGTTTCAAGAGTTATAATTAGCGACTCTCTCCAAATAACTCATTAAAATTTTTGATCTTGTAGAAATTCAGCAGTAGTTCTTTATTTATTATTTTGCTTTACTTATTTTAAAAGTTATTATAAAATTTATTTCAACTCTATTAACGATATCACATATCACACAGAATTATAGCTAAAAAACCGAAGAAAATCGAATTGGGCGAGAATGCACTTTCTTACGATATTTTCCCAATATCAAGCGGGAAGTCAAGTGGAAAGTGCAATGAAATCTTATGAAGAACAAAGATGACTTTTGAGAACTTCAAAACGTATTCGGTCCAAAAAAAAATACTCTGGATTGAAATTTGAATTGGCGGAACTTATTTTAGAACGTTGCGTATGGAACTTTAAGCAGAAAAAGTGAATCGACATGTACCGAGAGAAAAAGAGAGAGAAAGAGAAGAAGAAGGGAATATTCATAAATCTTTGCTATGGCAAAGCGTGACTTCCGCCGATATAAAGGAAGAAGGTTGAGGTTACAGATTGAAGTGAAGGACTGGATTTTGGAGGAGGCCGGAGACACAGACAACGGTTACGGACGGGATAAAGAATTCGGAATTCGATTCGACGATCATGTAAGTTTCCATGCGAATGAGCATACCGACGTCACGATTTGGATTCACTATACGTGAAGCAGGTTCGGCAACGTTTCGAGGAGGACCGCGGATCTTATTGAAAGTTCCTACTCGTAAAGTCGGTCTCCGTTGACTGGCCTGGATACATGCTAGCAAAATCCCAGTTCTTCTATAACTGGAACAGGTAAAACCGAGAACAGCTCTCTCCTCCTTCTCTTTCTACCCTTCTTTCCCGGGAGCGAGTTGCGATAAGGTTTGAAACGCATTGCTAACAAGTTCGCGTACCTAAGCAAAGTACTTTTTGCCCTATTTGAAGTATTTGAAGAATTCGCTCCAGTAACGTTCGTTTTAGTTAAAATTAAGTCTTTTATTATACATAAGCGAATGCGTATTATTATTATATGTAGTTATTTCCATACTCTTTTTCACTTTTCCTATACGCTTTTATCAGTTCTATAATGCTGACTTCTTAATGTTATTTTTTTTGAATAGTTATTTTTTTCTAATATAATTATTTTTTTTTTTAATATACTATAATCTATAAATATGTATATACCACGAATTTAAAAAATTTATAAAATCAATTATATTACAAAATAAATCACTGGCTTCTTTTATCTTCTTTACATCAAAATGGTGTAAATTAAGCTACCTTTCTATTTTTTTCATCTTCCTTCTAAAGATAGTTTACGAAATTTATAAAATAAAATCGAACATCTATGTACATTACGTATGCTATAAAGATGCGAGAATCTAATCAAATTTTAGTTAAGGAAAAGTTTCCTCAAAATTAATTGGAGGAGCAATAAATATAATAGAATATGACATGATATACAATATTCTTATCCCACTTCATCATACTTTCGCCATCGCAGCGCTCTTCAGTGTCCTAAAAGCCTTGATGGCTATCGATTTTACGATTTAGGCAAAATTCATTCTGTCCCAACGACGCTATATTTGCGCGATCGGGCATGCGCCATATAAATAAGGTCGGATCGATAAGCCATGCGGACAGAAAACGAGGAAGAATGGAAAGCGCATGAGAAGCGCTCAGCGGTGGAACTAGATGCCGGCATTTCCTCTTTGCAGTTCCTTTACGCGTATGTTAGTGCGCTGCTTGGCTGACAAGAAAATCTCAGGTATCGCGATTTTATTTCAGTCAGACGTTAACGCGCGCACGAAATCTACGAATCGTAAGAGCATCATGACGTCGAATAATCCTCGGGAAGTAATTTATCCCCGCGAAATCTGACCGCGAGAAGAAAAAGAAACACTGAAAAAAAAGAGGAAAAATAGAATATATGCTGTAGAGTTATATAGTTATATACATACGGCGGGCCATTCCCGCCGGAAGAGCAAGAGGATAAGTTTATATGAATGAGACCGAGTATTGGTAATCCCGAAGATTGAGTTTGCAGTGAAGTTTCCAAGTCGTTCCCTCGGTTCGGCGATTTCTTTCCTTCTTTTTTTTTTCTATCAACGTCGACGCGAGCGCTGAAATGGAATTAACGAATCAAGGGGCACGAATCGAGTAGCGTCGCTGAAAGTTCGATCTTTGACGACCGGTAGATACGATACGCGATCTTAATCGCGTCCCGAACGAACTCGGGAAGTTCGATTAGAGAAGCTTCCTTCTCGGTTTCCAGTATCGCTTCGCCTTCCGTAATCAATAAGGAAACTCCGTGAAAAACAGATAATATCATTCATGCGAACGTATAATTTGTTTATTGCTAAATTTATTTTCTCCGATTAAATCCAAATATTTCCAAATATTTCTGGATACACATGGAATATTTATCTGCAATAGAAACAAGTTTTATCGTGGATC